CCGCCGCGTCCCGGCGCGGGGCGGGGGGGGGGGGGGGGGGGAATGAGAGCAGGAGGGACTGGGGGCCCAGACTGGGGGCCTGGACACCTGGGTTCTCCCCCAGATCTGGAAGTCTTGGCTGCCCCTCTCTGGGGGGCACTGCCCCATGCCAGGAAGACCCTCACTGGCCCCTTTGGCTTTCCTGACCCCTCTCCTCTGCCCCCACAGACTCCAAGAGTAGCGGGTCCTTCTATGTGGACCTGGAATCCATGGAGAGCTCCCAGCTGGTACATGCCGCACCCTCCACCCCTCAGCCCCTCCCTCCCTTGTGGGGGTGGGAGGACGTGCCTACCCCCCCACCACCTTTCCACAAGAGACCCCCAGGGGAAGCTTCTTACCATACTTACCCACATACCACACTCACCCCCCAACTCCAGGAAACGGAGCTTGCACGGCCAGGCTGCCAAGAGAAACCTCTCATGCTCTGAAAGCAGGCTTATGGTAGGTAGGGCACTATGGCAGCCCCGTTGCTTACCTGGCACCATATTTTCCTACATACAACACACCTAGCACTGTATCATCTCATGTACAACATGCCTATGACTGTTTTGTCCCACATACAACATGCCCAGTGTCATATCACCTGGGTTCTCTGGGAGGGGGAATGCGGGGTAGTGGTGAAAGCAGTGCGGAGCTGGGAGCCTGGACACTTGGGTTCTCTGGGAGGGGTGTGCCGGCTGAGGGGTGGGGACAGGGGGGCCTGGATTCTCTGGGAGGGGAGAGGAGGGGTGTGAGCAAGGGGGGCTGGGAGCCCAGATGCCTGGGTTGTCTGGGAGTGGGGTGGGGAGTGAGAGCAGGAGGCTGCCACTAGAAATCTCTCATGCTCTGAAAGCAGGTGTGGGTCTCACCTTGGCGGCACATGGTATGCAGGGCATTTCAACAGCCCTACTACTTACAGCCTCTCCCCTCACAGGTGCATATCCAGCCATCAGTGAACATCAGCAAGCTGTGAGCCTAGCCCGGGCACAGCCCCCACAGTGGGAGCCATAGCTCCAGATGCCCCCCAACACCCACCTAGAACCACCAGGCAGCCACAGCCCATGTGGCACCTGCAAGGGAAGGAGACCTGGCCCCCCCGTCTCGGGGGGGGGCGGGGACAAGCCCTTTGTTCTTTGAGGCAGCAGAGCAAGAGCAGCCTTGTCCAGCCTTGGTCCAGACTAGAAAGTACCCATGATACCTCTGTGGCTCCCACTTGAATGAATCAGGAAGTGAGGTCACAGATCCAGTGTCAAGTTGCCCACTGGGCAGGGTCTGAATGAAGGGTTAGGGGGACAGGGGGTTGGGGGGGAAACAGGATCCTAGCATAGGCCCTGATCCCAGGCTCCAGGCTGTTCCCAGCTCAGGACTCTGCTAGTGCAAAAGTGCCGTGTCATCTCACATACAACATGGCAAACGCCGAATTGTCTCATGTACAACACACCTAGCACCGTATTGTCCTGCACACAGCATGTTTAGCACTGTATCAGCTCATGTACACGCTGAACACCATGTCTTCTCACATACACGATGCCTTCTTACGTACAAGACACCTAGCACCATATCGTCTCTCATACAACATGCCTAGCACTGTCATCTCATATATCTGCCTAACTATATCATCTCATATACATATCTAGCACCATATCATTCCATGTACAACACACCTAGCACTGTATCATGTACAACACAACTAGCACCATATTGTCTTGCATACCCCATGCCTAGCACCGTATCATCTCACATACGACATGCCTAGCTCTGTATCAACCCATGTATGACATGCCTAGCACCATATCATCTCACATACAGCATGCCTAGTGTCATATAATCTCACATACAACACACCCTGAACACACCACACGTCTTGATTTTGAAAGGCATGACAAAGGAAAAAGAAAAGGCACAGATGGGGTTGTGGCTGCACAGAGCATGCATGGAGCTGAATGTTCCCTGCTTGACATAACCTGAATGCCTAGATGCTGCTGAAGACAGATTGGGGGCTACAAGTTGGAAAAGAGCTGGAAAAAGTCACCAAGGCAGCAGAATGGTCCTGGGAATAAAAGTGTTGCTTGATGAACTAGGACTGTGGGGAAGGCGAGAAGGTCGTTAACACCTCTGGATTAATGAGCCCTTCACTGCCTGGACAGTAATGCTGCTACCCTAGTTGGGGCAAGAATCAGAGTGACAGGCTTCTCTCCCAAGGGAGAAAAAATGTTTAATACCCACACCCTGATTGCTGCTTATTTTCGGGGGGGACGTGTTATCTACCCCCATTTTGCTGTTATCTGCTGGCAATTATGGTACCTGGCTTTGTTCCCCATGAGAGCCTCTGGACTTGCTTCTCCATGGCCCTGGGGGCTGTGGAGTGAAGCTCACATGTCACCCAGCTCCTGCCCCCACTGAAGTATAGAGACCAGCACCCGGGGGCCGGCAAGGCAGTCCCCCCCCACCCAGTCCCCCCAAGCCAAGCTGTATTCTATATTATGAATAAAATATTATTATTATCTTTTCCACCATGCTCACGGTGTGGACAGTATCTGGCTCTTGGCTACCTCCCCCAGCCCAGGGGGCTCCCAGTTCAGTCATAGGGGTGGGGCTAGAGGAACCCATGGCAGGGAGTGGAAAGCAGAGCAATGGATGGGACAAGGGGTGCAGGACAGAGCTGAAAGCAGAACAATGGATGGGGCCTTCCTGGCTGCCTCAGCCTTCTCTCCACCCAGCTTCAGGATGCCCCATCCAGGGGTTACCATCCAGTGCAACCCCCAGGAGGCAGGATCAGGCCCTCCCAGATAAACCCATGTCTGACCTCTGACATGGCCCCAGGCAACACCCTGTGCCCCTTAAGGGACAAAGCCTCCTCCTGCCCCCTGCCCCCTGCCCCTGGGGCAGGCAGCCCCATATCCTGGCCCAGGTTGTAGCCCCCTCCCCCCAACCCCGGGATGCCCCAGCAAAGGCTGGGGGTTGCTGGGGGAGCTCAACGAGAACCGCCCCATTCATGGAGGGCTTCATGGGGCAGTGGCTGGGGCTTCTCTCTGGCCTTTGCCCCCCCTGCAAAGCCCCTCCACGTGGCCCTCTGTCTCTTTAAGAGGCTGGGAGAGTTAACCCCTTCTAGACCTTCCCCGTTCTCCCAGGGTCTCCGAAAAGGGCGGAGGCATCAGTGGCTTGCTGGGACCAGGCTGGTCTGGTCTGGTCTGGTCTGGATGGGTCGGGCTGTGCCAGGGGGCTGGGGAGTGTGGGGGCTGGGGTGAGAACCCAAGCGTCCGGGTGCCTGGT